CTTTTTTACAGATATTTTATTCTGGAGTCATAATAATGGTTTTAGAAAGTTCATGAAATTTATAAAAAAAAAATTTTTTTAATTTAAAAAAAAAATCAGACTTTTGTTAATAAGATGCAGGAATATATTTAATATAATAATTATTATTATTTACTACCTTGAAATCTTTAAAAAATGTTAGTACCCAACTTTGCCTTAAAATTAAGGTTGTGAGAAAATTACACTTACTATATTCTTATAGAGCACTTCTGTCTGAGAGTACATATTAAAAAGTGTACTATACCAAATTATTGTTAAAAGACTTGAATCAAATCAAATTAATATAAATCAAATGTACATTTTTATATAGAAATTTTATTTTCTAAAAGAATTTTAGGCTAATCTTTGGAATATGGTAACAGGTAGTTTGGCGACATTTATGTAAGGCGATAAAGGTTACTAGCTAGGACTTTAGCAGTGTACATGGATAAAGTCAAGAGTGCGCGGAATGCCATTTTTGTGCAATTCTGGGATTTTTTTTTAAGTGAAAATAGGTTGACGTATACATGGATGATACCGTGTATGAGCAATTCTTAAAAATGCGGCAAGCAGTGGACGATTCTGCACTTTCTCCCAATTTCGCACCTAATCTTCGTCATGATTAAGCACTTTTGTTCCATAAAAGTTCTAGCATAAGCATAATTCGGCTAGCAGATTGTTGGAAAAAAATGTTGATTAAAAAAAAAAAAGATGCCTTTTCTTCGTGAAAACAAAATGGCGTCCAAAAACAAACTAGCAGGTTGCTGTAGCAGGGCTGGTCGCCAAATTTTCGCCAAGTTACCATAATCCAAAAATTAACCGAATTTTATTCATTTGCTAATCTATAAAATCACTATATGCTTCACAAAAGCCCCTATTCAACAAAATGGTCACTCATGTTCAACCTAAAAATCACACTGTCCCTGGCTTTGTATAGTATTTGGGGGGTAAAGTTCAGAATCACACACTTATTTGTTTGGCGCTTTTTAGATGAGTAAAAAGAATTGGATTTTTGTCAATTTTCTTTGGCTTTTTAAGTGAAAATAGGTTGATGTGTACATGGATAAAATCGAAGGAGTGCATAATGCCATTTTTGTGCAATTCTGGGATTTTTTTTTAAGTGAAAATAGATTGATGTGTACATGGATACCAAGTATGTGCAATTCTTAAAAATGCACCAAGCAGTGAGTGATTCTGCACTTTCCCTGTGTTTTGAGCTCTTACCTATGCCAACCCTTTGAAGGACAGCAAGAAGTTTACCAAGGCATGTACTTTGGCACAATAACTAATAAAAAGTTACTGACCTTTGCCTTAAATAATAGATAAGATTGTTTAATATATAGTATCGAATTCTTATTTAACTCTGCTATAACCTAAATTCCTCAGACAACTTGTTATGTGAACAGGCAAGAGATAGCTATACAAAATCCTCATAGCCTCTTTTACAACCTTTCTGAAATTTTCTGAAGAATTCAAAATTGCAGAAGGTTAACTGGTCACAAATTCCCCTAGAGTTGAAGTATGCCCTCTTTAAGGAAATATTCTTTTACGGGAAACTTCTTTGCAAAAAATTAGGGTTGGTACCAGGGTTGTGGAGTCGGAGTCATGGAGTTGGGCAGATTTTGGGGTACAAGGAGTCGGAGCTGAAGTCACTAAAAACAGGTCGACTCCGACTCCAGTTTTTGTTGGACAGTTTGAATTTGAAATGAAATTTAAATGAATTGGAAAAAATTAATGACAAGCTGAGTTATTATTTTTATTTATGAACTATATACATTAATAAATAGTTATTTTCTATTTTTATTGGCATATTAATAAATAAATATAAGGGAGGAGGATGGATTAAATATTTGTAATTAGTGATTAAACATTCATTTAGTTACAAATCTCACTGGTAAATTTAGGCAAGCAGCAATAGCAGCAAGAACTTCTAAAATTAATGGCATTCTTAGGAAGCGAGCAGGAAAAGGAGCAATTATTGATCTAGCAACGCGATAAGGAAGTACATATTTGATGATAAAGATGTTGTTAAGAACTTTTTTAGAAGATGTAGATAACCCTAATGTTTCACTAACAGAAAGACTGTGGAATGATCTTACAGAATTGGAAACCCTTCTTTCTAGATGGTATACAGTCACAAAAAAGCTGTAATCTGAAGAATTGACAGGAGGTGAGAATGGAAGAATGTGATGTTTGTTTTTTTCTGAAATGGAGGGTTTATTGCAAAAGAAATTATTTCTTCAATGACGAAAAGAGAAACTAGTTTGCTAGACAATGAGATCTTGCTGGATTCAATATATGTAGATCCGAAACACCGAATTTTCTTGGATGGCGAACAAATTAAAAAGGCAAAGAAAGCCATCTATGAACTTTCATTAAGAATGAAATTATTCTCAGAACAACTGGAGAATTCGAAACAGGACAGTCCAACTGCAGACATTGCAACCGAGTCTCTATCTTCCTCTTCCAAAGATGAATTAGATTTTGAGAAATATTTTTGGATAATATTGAAAAGGCTAAGCGAATGAAAATAAAGAACCAAGAGCCTAATATAAGATAGAAATAGATATAAAATGACAGATATAAAAATACCATTATAGATATAAAATGATAGATATAAAAATATATAGAAATAAAAATGATATAAAAATGAAAAAATACAAACAAAATTTCTACACGGCCTTTGAAGAAATAGAGAAATATGATTGCGCTTGCAAGACACCTCTTTTAGAAACTTATAAAAATCTATCCTAAAAAGTAGCCCTAACAGTAACAGCTCTTCCTCCTACTCAAGTTAGTGTGGAAAGACTCTTCTCCGCTCTGAAGTTTATCAAATCGGATCTATGGCCCTCCAACAAAGAAGGTTCTTGTCGAAGCTATACTGTTTCTTAGAAATAACTAATGCCAGTTTTTCCATTTCATAATAAATGCTAATTAATATAAATAATTTGTTATGCCATCAATTTTTTTTTCCTGTAGCATCTATTACTTCTTTTATATTAAAAAAATAAACTGTAACTCATGTGTATATGTTTACACTTATATATATATGAGGGAGTCAGAGTCGGAGTCATCAGGAGACAGAGTCTGTCATTTTCCCTACCGACTCCACAGCCCTGATTGGTACCATTTGTAAGCTTTAGAGTTCTTTGTTTGACGGGTGGAAAGGGAGAAGAAATCATTGTAATCTCGAGTGAAATTTTGGCCATTATAGTATTTTATCTACAAAACAAAGCAAAACTATCCATATATAAAATTCATACTTAAAACAGAAATCACAAATTATTTCTAACTTCCTATTTTTCAGATGATACTAACAGTAACAGCTCTTCCTCCTACTCAAGTTAGTGTGGAAAGACTCTTCTCAGCTCTGAAGTTTATCAAATCGGATCTATGGCCCTCCAACAAAGAAGGTCTTGTCGAAGTTATACTGTTTCTTAGAAATAACTAATGCCAGTTTTTCCATTTCATAATAAATGCTAATTAATATAAATAATTTGTTATGCCCATTCTTTTTTTTTCCTGTAGCATCTATTACTTCTTTTATATTAAAAAAATAAACTGTAACTCATGTGTATATGTTTACATATATATATATATATGAGGGAGTCAGAGTCGGAGTCATCAGGAGACAGAGTCTGTCATTTTCCCTACCGACTCCACAGCCCTGATTGGTACCATTTGTAAGCTTTAGAGTTCTTTGTTTGACGAGTGGAAAGGGAGAAGAAATCATTGTAATCTCGAGTGAAATTTTGGCCATTATAGTATTTTATCTACAAAACAAAGCAAAACTATCCATATATAAAATTCATACTTAAAACAGAAATCACAAATTATTTCTAACTTCCTATTTTTCAGATAATACTAAATCAAAAATATAATTACAGTAAAATGCATAATAAAGTTTATTAAATATTAGATTGCATACCATTAATGGGCTTAATTATTTATATTCATGATAAATAAATAAATAAAGATGTATCATTAAAGTATGTGAAATAACATGTTAAATGATAAATAAGGACATCTCATACAGTTTTGTAATACTGTGAAATCATACCATTCATTAAATGAATACTATAAATTACGATCATACTTAGAGTGAAATTAACAACTATACAATTACAATGATTTCTTCCTAAGATGATCACTCATGTTATTAGTTGATCTTCTGTGGCTTGTTTGTCGTACACAATATGATCACTGGCAATGTTCAATACCAATGTTCTGCATTTTCAGAAATATTGGTCCCTTTCAGATAAGATATTGTTGGAGAGATGATTGCTGCACTAAGCTTTGCACATGCTGGAATGTTGCATATAAATTATTAAAAATGATGACATAATCTAAAAATATTTTAAGGATTAATATACAGCAGACAAGGGATATTAATATAGAAAAAAAGCTCTTTAAAAGAATATCTTTCATGTGGCCCTTTGGAGAAAACAGTATCTATACAGTTAATCTGTCAGCAATATTTTTAATATTAACATTTAATCCTCATGTTTTTAGTTTGAGTTTCCTTTAGCCAGAGTTTGATTGCATGAATATGACAAAGCACAGGGAAGAGAAAGATAAAGATATATTTATAGAGTTTTTAATGACTACTGATGAATTATTTTTGGAGATATTTAGTCTAGAGCTTTTTTTCTTCTTTAATTTATGATTGATAAGTAGTAAAATTTTTACTATATAATTCATTTCCCAGTTTCTATCATCTTTTTTCCCACAAAGCATAGAAAGAATAAAATTGTACACTTGTCAAAAGTATAATTCAACTCTTTTAAGATGATTACCACAGAAAGATGCCAGTATTTCTATAAACATCACCTCTCTTGAGTGATCTCCACAGAAGACCAAAATCATCTAGAACCCTAAATGTTCATCTTGGTGGCATGTCATTGAATATTCGTTTCTTAAAAAATATGCTAGGATTTTTGCAAGTGCTACAGTAATGAGAATTTGAAATGATAATACTGTACCTGTATTCTGAATATACAAATTTTGTACTGCTGCTTCAGTTCCCATACTATGAGAAAATCCTCCAGTAGGAAAAGCTTCAAAGAAAAAATATATATAAGTTACAGGCAAGATTTCAATTTCAATTTTCATAAATTTTGGTTATGCAGGCTGCAGCAAAAAAAATCCCAGATTTCATAAATAAATTAGATATCATGCATAATTTTATTTCACAGTTGTGAAGAATAAAATTTACCATTTTGTTTCCCACATGTACCAGGAAATAAACATTTGTATGATTCCAAAAATGTACACACAGGACACACATCAAGTGTATCAATGATTATTCTACACAAAATATTATCAGTCTCTGATCTCACTCCAAGGTCTCATTCCATGGCCAATCCATTCCCTCTGATCTTTCACCTTGCGATTTCTTTCTGTGAATACCTCTGTAGGCAAAGTTTACTAAGGAAGGCCAAGAACAACCAATAATCTGAAAGATTCTATTGGATAAGATATTTTGGCAACACCATCAGTTATGACTATGATGATAATGCAGAACTTCAAAAATGCAAGTCATCATTTGAACGATATAATTTTCAAAGCAAACTGAAATATCATATAAAATTATGAATTATTGACCATTATTGATTTCGACAGAAATGGTATACATATTGTTTGTTGCAGCCGTCGAATACATTGGTACATTTTGCAATTGAGGAACAAAATAGTAAAACCTGTTCTTTCCAACTGTGAAATATAATTTTGCGTAACATCTCTCATTGCTTTGTTATTTACATATAAATTCAGAAGCGATTCTGACACACTGTATACTTTATAAAATTAACTTCCAGAAACATCTTATCTTAAAGATAAAAATATATTAGCAGATGAATTAAACAAGTTAACAATTGAATTTGGAAGAAAATGGCAGAAATTATAGGAAACACTTAAAAGAAATTTATAAGGACAGAACATAGAATTCTTAACTATTTTACTGCATTATTACAGACACAGCTGAATATATAAATTAAGTTTTTTATTCAAATTATGATAATTACGCTAAGTTTTGGGCATAAATTGAGAAAACAAAAATTCCCTTGAGTTTTTAGTTAAGACTTGTGATTGCAATCACGACAGAAACTATTGGCAGCTCTAAAAATTGTAAACTAAATCAGCAAAGGTTTCAGTCAGGGTAACCAAATGTTTTTCTATACTGCTTTATCAAAATCTGTCCCTGATTTCTTAAACTTTTGGTGAACATCTGGTTTTAATTAATAGTTTTATATACTGTTAAATTTTCCATAAGGTACTTAAGTTTCAGAAAACTCAAAAGGTTTTATTACTATTTACCATTTAAGGTTGCTGATGCAAATGCTGCCTTAAACACCACAAATTCAACATATTTGAAGTAAAATTAGAAAAATATTACATACAATTACTTAATTTATAATTTTACAATATGCTTTTTCTGTGCACAGCTTAGTGTTACATTAGATTTACAAAGTGGAGAAGACAAATTCTTTTAAAGCATAGGTATATGTAAATGCAACTGCACTTCATAATTCTTTATTCTTGGTAAAATTATATGTTTAAATTACTATTTAGTTTTACACTCATTTCTTAATTATTATTTTAGCATTAATTGAAACAATGATTCACATTAAATACATTTTGTATTTATTTATATTTATTATAACAAGCCAAAAGAAATAAACACAAAAGTCAATTCAAGAATTATGAATTTTTATATAATAACTATGCAGAATAAATATGAATTTGAGAATAAATTTACATTTCAATTATTTCTTGGATCTTAAAATATTAGTTCTTAATTCCATTCTGCAGAAAATTACATGACAGTAAAAAGAATAATCCCCCGATTATGGTAACTTGGCGAGCCAACCCTGCTACAGCAACCTTCTAGTTTTTTTTTTTTTTTTGGACGCCATTTTGTTTTCACGGTTTTTTTTTTTTTTTTTTTTCCTTTTCTCAACATTTTTTTCCAACAATCTGCTAGCCGAATTACGCTTATGCTAGAGCTTTTATGGAACAAAAGTGCTTAATCATGACGAAGATTAGGTGCGAAATTGGGAGAAAGTGCAAAATCGCCCACTGCTTGCCGCGTTTTTAAGAATTGCACATACACGGTATCCATATACACGTCGACCTATTTTCACTTAAAAAAACATCCCAGAATTGCACAAAAATGGCATTGCGCACACTCTTGACTTTATCCACGTACAATGCTAAAGTCCTAGCTAGTAACCTTTATCGCCTTACCAAAATATCGCCAAACTACCTTAACCTGTCATTTAGTGGTATTATTGTCAAGGAAAGAGGTTAGATTAATTGAATACACAAATCACACAAGGATTATCTGCAGGGTAGAAACAACCACATAGTCAACCCGTTCGCGTGCGATTAAATCTAAGTCGATATCCCAGTACTCAGCCACTGGCGGGATCTTCTCGCAGAAAGAGACTTAACATATATTATTATATTGATTATATTATAGAACAACTTTAAATTTTTATTTCTATATTATACTAAAATATCTAAAAAAAAATAACTATAACAAATTACTAAAATCTACAAAAATACCGCTGTCACAAATCTGCAAGATTGTGTACATATCGTCCCTTTCCATATCTGAAGATCCAAGTAAATTACAGCTATAAAACTTGATACGTACTCAGTTTTTAAAAATTAAGATAGGTCAAAGACACCTCCATGTTTTGTATCTGCTAAGTCTTTCTGCCCGCAGGGTGGAACATAAGTCCTATAAAAAGAAAAGAGTTGGAAAAGTTTTTAATAAGCTTTTATTTCAAAAGCATCAGAAAAATAATTTATCATAGAGTTTAATAAGAACAAGCAATTAATTAATTTTCTTTTTAAAGGTGATCTACAGTTCACTTTTAGAGGAATATATAATGAATAATAATACTGTTGGATAAAACTGTTTTTACTCGAAATCCAACTTCGTTTAATTTACATTGTATTAACGTAACTGCTACTTTATCTAGAATAGTGCTTCTAAAAAGAAACAGGATGGTTTAAATGAGACTCCTAACGGGACTCTGAAAGAACTGGAATATTGGTGTCAAAATATGGTATGAGAGAAACACCGGGGCTCCTGCGACAAGCTGACCCTTGCTAAGCTGATGTCTTTCGGGACCCAAATGTCAAGAAAGTAGAAAAAGAACACTGCAGGCCATGGCGCACTAGGGCTGTTGCACCACTGAGTTTAGTATAAATATATTAACATATGCAGTGAAAGAAATTGCAGTACGTATTCCTATTTATAACTGATCCCAATAGCGGCCGAGGGGTAAAATCGCTGAACACTGGTATTTTAGTCTAAGGTTCGAATCCTGCTAGCGAGCTGGCCGCATGGGCATCATATAGCCGGTAACTTCCAGAAGCATAAAAGTTTAAGGCATACAGAACCTGTTTTAAATAAATAAATAACTATATATATAACTGTATTATAAATATATTAACATATGCAGTGAAAGAAATTGCAATACATATTCCTATTTATACCCTTTTTAAATCGATTCCTCAGCGGTCGAACGGTAAAATCGCTGAACACTGGTAGTTCGGTCCGAGGCTCGAATCTTGCGAACGGGCTGGCTGCATGGGCGTTTTTCGTGTTTTCCCTCTGTGTATACTAGAGAGTTTCCCTTAAAAAGTCCTCCATGAAGGCAACCCTCTTCTTAGATAGATAGTCCTCGAGGCTCTGGTGTTTGGTGTATTTAATTATGGCAAAGCACACTAGGGCTATCTGCCTAAAGGGGAGGGATGCCTTCGTGGAGGACTTTCTAAGGGAAACTGGCTCGTATACACGTTACACATGGGGAAAACCACGAAAACACCCATGCAGCCAGCCCGTTCGCGGAATTTGAACCTCGGACCGAACTACCAGTGTTCAGCGACTTTACCGCTCGGCCGCTGGTGGGCCCTCGAGGCTTTGCAATAATCTATTTATAAAACGAAATACTTTTTAAATCGGAATAAAAAATACACGAAACTGATGTACTATCTTAAAGCAGATCACATAAAAAATCATATAACTAATTATAAATCATGCATTAAAATGTTTACAAGGATTTAATTTAACTGAAAATTACACAGAATTTATACAGAAGATTCTAAAATCTACTGAAAATGACATTCATATCGGTACAATTAAAACTACTTAAATAATTATTTTTACTCAAAGCAATTTAATATGAATGTTGAATATAGTGTGTGCATAATTTTAATATATACTGCATATTCTTTAATGCACTTGTTAATGTATTGCATTTTTATACACTACAAATTAACGTAGAGGGAGATGCATTATAATTTAAAACATAAAATTTATAAATTTATAAATTACTCATCACATTTTGAAATTAAGTACATTAGTATAGACATTAGTTTAAAAATTACAATTTAAAATTAAATGTATGCATTCATTCTTTATATGTGAAAAGAGAAACACCAGCTATACTATTTTCACTAAAATTGTCTAAATTAAGGAATTTCTTATCCCATAGCATAATAGCAAGAAACCTATATCATACAGATATGAAAACAAGCGTATTAGTCCTTACCTTTATTTAATTCAGGAGTTATTGCTGTCTTTGATGGGGATGCTCCAGTAAAGCATGGCCTTAATTTATTGATAAGGGTCTGTACTATACGCAGTGGCTAATTGCACCGAAGGTCCGAATAGCCTCTGAGGCTATTCGCACCACTACGTTAGCGCATGCGCACAATCAGCCCAGGTACAAGCATTTTACGCCGATTTGCCCATAAGACATTCGGTAACAGTTTCTGCTTATCCTCCTTAATTAATTTTTAGTTATTGTTACTGAAATTTACGTGTTATTTGTTTGACATAACTTGAGGACGATGGATGTGACAAAAACAAATTTCTTGCCTTTTGAGTGTGGAAATAAGTTTTTCACATATTTTTAATTTGAAAGGGCAAAAAATCTGTATGAAAATCAAAATTTTGCTGTTTTGATTAAAACGAGATCGCAAAATTTTACGAGGGTCATAAACATCGTAAAAAGGTATTGTGCAAATATGTTACCTTTAAATGTAAGAAAGGACATATTCATAAACAGCCATCATAAAAAGTTATATTCATGTTCATAAAGAGTTAAATTCTTTTATTTAACATTGGAACTTTTATGCAAACTTAGACCCTAGTCTTATAGCATAGAACTGCGAGAATTTATTATTCAATAATAAAACTTATTGAAATATATAATGTTCTTATATGTGCATCACTTTTTCAGTGTCCACACACGTTTATAAGTTCAAATGCCGTATTTCAAAATCAAGGTTTATTCATGAAATAAAACCTTACAAAATCTGATCATTCATTTGCGTGTGCAAATTTGTCAATCTAAATCTCTTACATTAGATTATTGTCTTTTAAGTTATATCCCATTATTTATTAAAATTTAATTTATTAATGTGTTTGTACTATTATTTCAAAGTCCTTTGGAAATACTTTTTATGTTCTGAAAATGAAGATATCCTCTGTCTAATTTTTATTATCTTTTCTCAGACAATTTTCAAAGAGGACATGAATTAAAGTCTTGATTGTGAAAAACAGATCTTTGAAGCTAAATGTATTCTAAGAAGTACAAAAAATGTAAACAAGATTTTGTCCCCCCCCCAAATCAGTCATTTAAACTATTCCAACCGTTCAGGAAAACGATAAACAATGTGAACATAATCTGCTCCTTTTTATATATACTTTAATAAAAGGAAATGTGTTCCTTCTTTTAACATATATAAGAAAAAGAACCCATTTCCTTTCTAAACTTTTGAAAGTCGCCAACATTTAAAAAATGATAAACTACGCCAAGGTAGTAACCCGCCTTTAAAAAAAATTCGCTACAACGCTTAGGCAGTTCGCGTACGTAGAATCCGGTGTTTTCGATTGGTGCGAATAGCTCAAGCGGCTAATCGCACCGCTGGTGCGAATAGCATTGGCCCTGTACTATAAGGGTCCATGCTATATTGCTTTGGTTTGGGAAGTCGAACTAATCCAATAAAAGTGGAATGTTCAGCATCAAATGCGTTATTTCTATCGCGAAACACTCGAGTTTTTCGGAAATCTTAAGACATTAAAATATCCATTAGCACGCTGCCAAAAACTATCCGTGACCTCCGCCGTCTTCAGTTTAGCTCTAAAGCGACAGTCAGAAAGTTAAACTGCAACTATACAACTGACGGAAAATTTTCCGACGCGTCGATCTTTGTAATGATCGAAACGATGACACGAGACTCGCTCTTTGTCGAGCAGATCGCAAAAAAAAACGACCCGTTCTTACATTTCGACGGTGTCCAGTCTAGAGCCCTAAATCGGGATAAGAGCACGTACCAGTTCCTCACTCTAAACAGGCAGACTTTTATCCCAAAGTTGACATATAAGGGTGTAGATGTTAAATACAATGATCCGACAAAATGTTTGAGTTACAACTTCGACCCACGCTTAAATTAGAAGGAACATGCAGAAGGTTGGTAAAATAAAGCCGTAAGAAAGCCTTGTGTCTTAAAACGTTTGGCTGGCTCAAGGTGAGGCTGTGACAAAGAGACATTGAAGACTACTTGCTAATTATACATTCAACCAATTATTGGTAATTTTACCGAGATCCCATCGCGGCTCGGAAGAATGTAGTCCAGATCTCGAAGTCTTCCAAAACCAAGCGTTGCGCATAGTTACTGGGGAGTGAGATCTACTCCTATTCTTGCAATGGTAACCGGTTTGGAACATGTTCATGATTGTATTAAGAGAAAAGCGATCCTGTTATACCAGAAGCTGGTGCCTTTGCCCAACGATCTTTTTTGGGGGAACTATAATAAGGAAATTTCTAGGAATCTTTAAAAAAATTGGCTTTACCTAGGCTGCTCAGAGAGAATCTGATGCTACCGAGGTTATCTGATTTTACATCCTCCCCAATGTCCCTTGGACGTTTTGAATTTGAATATAAATCTTGATCTGAATCAAAGAGTTATTAAAAATGAAATGAGCGATTCACAATTAAAATGTATTGCAATGGAAACTATTGGAGTTCGCTATCCTCAAAATGAGTGGTTGCATGTCTACACTGACGGCTCTATGTTACAGAGAACGCGCGGTGCTGGAGCAGGTATCCATAGCGAGCTTTTCAGTTTTTACTTACCAATGGGACCTCTTACTTTGATGTTGAAATTGAAGCTATTGCTGCGACTATTCAACAACTGTCCATTCGTAGCCGCTCTTTTGTAAAGGCAGTCATATTGTCAGATTCCAAAAGTGCACTTCCAGCTCTTCTGAATAATCAAAATAGTTCCAAAAGAATCTTAGACTGTAGGCCTTTGCTTAAGGTAATGGCACACAGGATTTCTTTCCAATGGATTCCACCTCACTGTAGAATTATGGGAAATTAAAAAGCTGATACTTTGGCTAAAAAAGGAACTTTCATAACGCAATGCATTAATCGACCGCTTTCATTTCATACGACTAAATTGTTTGTTAATCTGACTCTT